AGGTCGACGATTTTCGGCGCCGGTCTGGGAAAGGCAATGGCCAGGATGAGGAGACGATGGAATGCTGCGCCTGCGTGCCGACAGGGCACTGAGCCAGCGATCCATGCTGTCCGAAGCTGAAGCAGTGAAAAGCTGAGCAGGTGAAGAAACAGCAGCACAGCAGGGCTGGTCCAAGCCGAAGGGCGCGATTGTGGTGGACCTGCTGAACGCGCACTTGGCCAACGACGCGCTGGCGGCGGCGCGGATCGCCCGTTTCGAGGCCCTCGTGATTACGCAGACGTTGCGAAGAAGGAGGTGCCTTTTGTGCCTGCGGTAAAAGAGGTTCTGCTGCCAACAGTGCCCATCGGCGAAACGGGCGGCGAGGGCGTGCTGGGCTCGGCTTGCAGCGGCGTCGTGGCAGGTGAAGCGTGCGCGGATGGCGCGGCTTCGTGCCTGAGCAGGTGAATGGAGACGAGCATCCGGAAGGGGGGGCAGCATGCAGTTCTCTTGGTTCGGGAACGGTGGGAAGCAGCTGTCGACGGAGAAGTGGGCGGTCCCCAGCGCGGTTTTCGGCGTCGACGCGCACCTCGCGTTCTCGGTGGATATGGGCCTGTGCTGACCGGCAAGGTCGCGCTAGGGCCGTGGGCGCCGCGAACGATTTCGGTTTGGATTCTGTCGCGACCCCCCTGCTCGGCACCCCCATCGGCGCCTCGTTGACCTTGGAGCGGGTCCGATCCGAGGTCCACGAGGCACTGATGACGACCCGAGGTAGTCTTCGGATCCGGTGCGCGTCGGGGCGCATGAGGGCCCCCAGTCCCGAGCAACGATGAGGACTGGGGCGTGCTGGATGACCAGGACGAGGAGATCGACGGGGTCGACGTGGCGGGCCTGGAGGCGCCGGGGCGCCAGGATAGCGACGCCTGGGCCCCCGAGACTTCGAACGGCGATGGGGCCGAACGGGCGCGCCGCGCAGTCGCGCGAGACGCCCTGCGCCGACGCGGGTGGCCCCGTCGAGGAGCTGCGCTGCGTCGAGGGGCTGACGCATGGAGATCTCCATGAGCCACCGGGCCCGCCGGGGGGCAGCGTTGCGAGGCCCTGCTTCTAGCTCCCGAGGCCCGACCCTGGGGGGGGCGCGATGCTTTCTTCTGCGCGATTGGGGGCGGCTGCGAATCGTTTCGAAGGCAGCGTTGAATGGCGTGGCCGAGGTCCTCGGCATCCCGGGGGGGCCGTGTCTGGGGCGAGTATCATTATTTGATCGATTGATGGAGGCTGGCGCCCAGCAGAGGAGGATGGCCCCGCGGGGGGAAGGCGAGGCGCTCGTCAGTGCAGGCGTCTCGTCGTCGAGAGCCTCCGGGTCGTCGCCAGCCCCGCAGATGGTCCCGCGTCAGGCGCTCCAAGTTCGACTGAAACGGGTGTGTCTTCGAGGAGGCGCATGCGGATCCTGCCGCCTATCGGCCGCGAGAGGAAGTGCGAACTGGTGGACTACTTCCGAAATCACCAGGTGCCGACGGAGGCGAATCCAGACGACGCGACGAGGTGCTCTTCGCGGCCTCGAGCGCGGCGAGACGGCGCGGCGCTCCCCGCCTGGCGCCTTCTGATGTGCGAGCGAAAGCGGCGCGCGGACCATTGGCGTTGTCGAAGTGGCAGTTTGGAGGCGTGCCATGCATGGCCCCCCATGAAGATCGGGGAGGACGCGTGCTTCGCGGAT